AGAATTTCAGATTGCTGCACACTGGCGGAAGTCGAAAGGAATGAGACAATCAAAGAGATTCATAAGTTCCTTCAGGTTGAACGCCAAAAGACTCCTTGAGCTTAGCCGGGAGAGTCTTAGAGTTCGTACTGGTATCCTGAGAGCACACTGCAAGTTAAACTACCATTTGAATAAGATGGGGTTTCTCCAGATACGTATTGCAAGTTTTGTGGGCCGGGTTTAGCACAATAGATCATATTAGGTTGCAGCGCGAGTATTCCTGACGTAATAATAACAATAACAATGTACAGAAAAATTAGTTGTGTACGTAGTTTGTTTGTTTTATTGAACTAGCTCTTTTGGTTCTACTATTATCTACATTTATAATAAACCTAACAGTGAAAAAATAAAGCTCAAAAAAATGCTTGGTAGGTTTTGGTAGGAAAAAAAATGTTCGTGGCAACACTGCTTGTGGTGCCTATTGTGCTCTTTATTTCAAAAAACTGCTGTTGTTTTTGTCTGCTGTTTGCATATTTTGTTATGCTTTACCATTCTCGTTTTTGTTGCTATCTATTGTTTGAGCGCGTGTTAACGAACTTTTAGCATTTGGTTGTCTGCTGTGTGGTGTATTTTTTGTACAGTTTTTTTTTGTTTTGTTTTGTTAGCTTTTAAGAGCAAATTATCTTGCTGCGTCAGAAGAAGGTGGGTGGGTATGTGAGAGGCAGATGTGTCTCCTTTTATGGCCAAAGCAAGTATCATTCCTGCTCTTAAAATACTGGGGCGAGAGTGAGCGGATTTAGATCTTGATGGCGATTGCTAAGTGCTTTATGGTTTGGCTTAATATACTGTTTTTTTTCGGTTGGAGGAGGAACTTGTGCGAGTGATCCGATGTGATTTTTTCTTCACCACTTAAAAGTCAATTCAATTAATGCCACAAAAAAGGGCATACTGTTCACCACCTTTATCGAAAAGAGTAGGAAAGCTTGATTTGTTCTTTGGCGTTCTGCATTGATATTTTTTAGTTTTGCTGCCTTGGTGAGAGAACCTAAACCAACTTTGTTTTTGTCCATGAAAATCCACCGTAAAATAGATGGGCCAGACCACATCAGATCCACGGAAGTTTGACGGTTACTGCTGTTGATAAAGAGTTTTAAAATGATTTTTTTATAAGCGAAAAACAACAAAATTCGTCGAAATGTTATTTTTTATACCCGAGCGCACTTGTGCACAAGGGTATTATAACTTTGTTCACATAACGGTTGTTTGTAACAGGCAAAATGAATCGAGATAGATATAGACAAATGTATACATAAATGATCAGGATAAAAAGAGAAATCGATTAAGCGGTGACTGTCTGTCCGTCCGTCCGTCCGTCCGTCTGTCCGTCCGTCTGTGCACACGATAACTCGAGTAAAAATTAAGATATCTTAACGAAACTTGGTACGTGTACTTCTTTCGGGCGTAGGACGGATGGTATTGGGAAAAATCGGACAATAACCACGCCTACCTCCCATATAACGGTAATTTTCAGAAATACGAAAACTGCGATATTTTAGTAAATACTGAAGATAATTCACTCAAAATTGATAATTACAATAAGTTTTAGACGAAAAATAAGAATATTATAATTTTTTGAAAAATGGGCGTAGCCACGCCCACTTATGGTTACATGTGTATATCTTGGCAACCGCTGCACCGATTTCTTGCAAATTTGGCACAGTTGTTGACTTTGGTACATCATACCAACTGGCCGAAAATTTTTAAAATCGGACAATAACCACGCCCACATTCCATATAACGGTAATTTAGAGAAATACGAAATCTTCGATAAAGCAGTAAATAATAATAATAATAGATTGGCGCTTACACATATGTTAGTGTTTGGCCGAGCTTCTCCTCCGATTTGTGGCGTGCGCCTTGCTGTTTTCACACAAAGCGGAGGGACCTACAGTTTTACGCCGACTCCGAACGGCGATGGTGTTTTTATGAGAAGCTGTCTTTCATGGCAGAAATACACTTGGAGGTTTGCCATTGCCTGCCGAGGGACGACCGCTGTTAAGAAAAAACCTTTTTTCTATATTTTTTGCGATGTTGCTTTGACCAGGGCTTGAACCCAGGCGTTGCGGAGTGGAAGCGCGCACTGCTTACCACTACACCACAGCGGCAGTAAATATTAAAGCTAATTTATTCTAAATTGATGCTTGCAGCAATTCTTTACCAAGAAATACTTTTATGATAAAATTTTGGAAAATGGGCGTGGCACCGCCCACTTATGATCACATATATGTATCTCGGTAACCGTTCTACCAATTTGTACCAAACTCGGTGTGGTTATTGTGCTTACCACATATAAGCAAAACGTTGAAAATTATTGAAATCGGACTAAAATTACCGCTTTTCATATAACGGTAAATTTTAGAAATGCTTGAAACTTCAATATTTCGAAATTTAAGGACGCTGGTTTACTCAAAATTGATAAACCCCGGATTAAGATGTAGCGGTAGCTTTCTGGAAGGTGGAAAACATATATTTAATATTTGCGCCGGGTATTTAATGTTCAGCTCCGCCCGAACTTAAACTTTCTTACTTGTTTTTCATCATGTTTTTGAATCTATAGAACTTATGTATGAAATGCAACAACCGCTAAACGCCCACCAGGATTCCACAGGCATGTCCAAATTTTTCATACATTTTTGGCATAGTTCGGATTGCATATCAATTATAACGCGTAAGATTTTATTCTTCGGCTCTGGAATCGTCTCAGGCTTACAGGCATACACTATACTTTTCACATAGCCCCAAAGAAAGAAGTGCAATGGGGTCAAATCGCAAGATCTCGGCGGCCATTGGATCTCGTAGTTTTGTGAGATAATGCGTCCTGGGAACTTCGTTTTATGCACTGTGTGGCAAACGGAGTTGGGCCAAAGACACGTGAGCCCCACAAGGCACTCAAGTTTTTCGTCTCTTATAGATGATAGCTGGTCTCCGGTGATGTCATTTATGTAATAAGAGTTAACGTTGTCTTTAAGGATTGATACACAAATCGTATTTGGAAATCAGACGATATTAATATTCCGATATTCTTCTAAAAAATTAGATTCAAGCTTTGTCTTTGCCTGATAACAAATACGGTCCTTGAATAAAGACCTGAAAAAAAGTGTAAAAATCTTGTCCTAAATGTCCTGTGAGGGTCTTGGTGGATGCCCGTAGCCCAGTTTGGAGACGAATACCTATAAGGGAAACTAAGAAAATGTACATTAAAACTCGCCAGATGGGCTACTTTATTGAAAGATTTCAAATATCTTTTCAAAAAATGTGGATGGATGCCCATCAAATGCTAACCACCACAATATTGAAAAATTTTTTTTTTATGAATTTTATCCCTTTTGAATGCACCAATTTACTCAATCCCTATATGAACACACTCTCATCAACCAAAATAACTTCCTTCCTCCACCTGCTTGCCATGTTCAAACCAGTAGAACCCCTAATTCAAGGTCGCATAGCTGAATAGCAAGTCACATTTAAGAGCGCAGCAGCAAGGGAGAATTATACTAAAGTAAGAGAGCGCTAGAAAAATAACAAACCTGTTTATGCGCTCTTCATATTCAGCTATTAAATAAGCGCGAGGCAAGTAGAAGGCGTTCGCCTTGGCAAGGTAAAGAAACAAAAGTGGGAAATATGCAAATCTGTAGATAGCGAATCCTTTTAAGGATTATTACATCTTCACAAGTGCACAATTAAAATATAAATTATGCTTAAAAAATCAATAAAATCTCGTTGCGCACCGATAGACTATTATATTTAGTAAACAGAAGTTACTTACGGTGTCATAGGTATACATATTTCATAACTTGCGCTTTTGCATATACTTGGTTCTGGCTCTCAAAGTAGTTACATTGTTTATGCACATAGTTTGCCGCTTGTACGGCGCGCATTTAACTTGTCTAGTTTAGTTCGGAAGCGACTTTTGATGTGCGTGGTTGGTGGTTTTCGTTGTGACGCGTACGTTTTAAGGCAAATATTTTTGCCGCCGGTTTTTAGTTGATGGTGTGTGATGATACCATCGCTAGGTGAATGAAGGATGGCTTCTTGAAGGATTTGTGTACTCAGCGCCAATTTGAGTTATGCGCGCGAAATTAAATCAAAAATTATAAAAATTAAATTGAAGAAGAGAGTTTAAGAATTCGATAATTAGTGTAGTGGCATTTACCTATTTATGTGTATATATGTATGTATAAACAAAAAACGAATGCTGTAGGTGGGGAAAAGATCGTCAGTAAGTTGAAGGAAAAATTGTGAGAAAATAAATTAGTTATTACTTTTGACGAATATTGAAAGAAAAATACGACACAAACATTGAAGCGATAGATAAATGTTGGTATAAAATTTCGGCAAAAATAAATAAATATCTAGGCCTGGAAATTTTCAGGTACAAATTTAAAAAAAAATGTTTTCAGAAAAAAAAAATAATATTTACCTTCTTCGATTGATTTTGGGTTTTAAAAATGCATATGATTATACTGAAATTGTGTAAAATTTTATGAAATTAGTTTCAAAACAAATTTACAAAAAAAAAAAAAAACAACTAGGTACCTACCTAAAAATATTTTCCCAAGTAGTGCATATGCGATTTTGAGAAAAAACCTAGGTATAGATTTTTCAGAAAATTTAAATGAATGCATTAGTTATAAATTTGAAAATAAATAAAAAAGTATTATAAAAAAAAAAAATTATAGATATTTACCTACATATTACACGGAAAAAAAATCGTAAAAGTGTGTGGAAAAAGTGTCTGCGGCCAAATAGGATTCAAAAGTTTTAAACTGAAAAGTTTTTTCGTGTAAAAATAAAAAAATACAAAAGGTACACGAAATCTTTTTGTGAAAAAAGAATTTTAAAAAGCTTGGAACTTTTTTGTCTAAAATATATATGGCACATATGAAAAAATTCGCCCTTAAAACAGTAATGCAAAAATATTAAAAATAACCGTTAGAAAAATGTAAAAAATAATACAAAAAAGCCTTATTTGAAAAGCTGATGAAAAAATGTGTTTCAAATGTGCCACGAGTACTGATGTTCCTTGAATTACCAAAAAATTCCCTATTGGACTAAATTCCTGGGAGACATTAGAAAAAAGTGCGCATATTAAAATTCAGAAAAATATTTTGAATACTTTAAAAAGTGCTAGAAAAAATAAAATACACAAAATTTAGTTCCTTGTTAAGAGGTAATAAATTTTTGCAGCGATGTCTCTTAAAGAAAAAATATCTTGAACGCATTTTCGTTCAGTGCAAATTTATTCCAAATGAATAAATTGTAAGTGTTTCGTAAAGAAGTATACTTCGATTTCCTAAACGTGTGGCAATAAAAAAAAACAACCAACAACAAAAGTGTTTCACAGCGCTCGCTAGCTGCTATTGAGCTAAGCGAAAGCTCAAGTGTAAATTACAATCGAAAATAAATTGTACCACCATTATCACTTCAACGCAAAAATGTATGTCGGTGCACGCAAAATGCCGACGGCATGCCGTCACAACGCGCTCATATGTGCCATAATCGTCGCGTTCGTTCTACTCCTCCGTTCTCCGCCGCCCGTTTCCGCTGTGCATCGTTACGATCAAACTCCGGTGGAAGCTAGTCCCTACTATCGCACCTCCGCGTCGGGTGAAATGATAAGCTCTTCCGCGATGACGAGTGACGCTTTTCCGCATCACAATCGCTGTGAACCCATCACAATATCGATTTGTAAAAATATACCCTACAACATGACAATAATGCCCAATTTAATTGGTCACACTAAGCAAGAAGAAGCCGGCTTGGAAGTGCATCAATTTGCGCCACTCGTTAAAATCGGTTGCAGTCCCGATTTGCAACTTTTCCTCTGCTCGCTTTACGTACCGGTTTGTACGATACTCGAACAGCCGATACCGCCGTGTCGTTCGTTGTGTGAGTCGGCGCGCATTTGTGAAACTCTAATGAAAACATATAATTTCAATTGGCCTGAGAATTTGGAATGCTCGAAATTTCCCGTGAATGGCGGTGAGGCGTTGTGTGTCGCTGAGAATACAACTTCGTCGACACCGACGCCAACGCGCAGCATACCAAAGGTGACGACGCGTAAAAATTACGCAGACGGTCCGCATCGGAATATCGGTTTCGTGTGTCCGGTGCAGTTGAAGACGCCCCAAGGAATGGGCTATGGGCTCAAAGTAGGCGGAAAGGTAAGTGATGCGATAAAAAAATACTGATACACTGATATTTCAGGTGTTTTCTCGTCTCAGATAGAGATCTCAAAGAAGGTTGAGCGATGGAAAACCATGTTTTGTATTATTAGTTCGTCCTGAAGTTTTCTACAGAAGATCCTTGCCAAATGAGTTGGCTTCCAGCTATTATCGTATGACCTTAAATCTTAAAAATTTGAATAGCAGACGTAGCGAGAAATCGTTCTCATTGTTAGTTTGGTCCTATTCTTACTCTACTCTTTTAAAGACCCTCTTCGGAAGGCCGTAATAATCACCAATACCTAGGCGATATCAATAAAATATCATTCCAAGTCATTGAAAAGCAAAGAACTTAATTTATCTCTCGTAAAAACAAGATAGACTCATCATATTTTAATAGAGTTAAGAGAATTAAAGAACTTGTATAACGAAAGGCAAATACTCAACTTTCACTCGTACGAAAATGCTAGAGCTAGAGATCTTGGGTGGAAGTGGACGCCTAAAAGGTGCCGATGTAGCTTTATCGTGCTCTTAATGAACAAAGCGCGGAGAAAACGATTCTCTCGGGAATATTAGTAAGTAATTCACTCTGAAAAATTAACTGAATTAGCCACGCTATCGGTTAGTAGATTGGTACAGGCTTGGGAAAAGCCTTTTCGGGCAGTAAGAGGTGCGTTAAGGTTCAGCAGACTGGTCTTTGACGAACAAGAGACTCAGAGAGAGTAAGGTTTGTGAGGGAATATAAATTTCGGGTCTGGGTTGATTATTAATAAAACGTGATTAGGACGGCCGGCAGACTACATATGAATATGGTAGCCAATCTTGACATCAATAGTAACGTGGAAGTGCAGTGGCCGCTAAGCTAACTATTTCTCCCTCTCTCTCTCTCTCTGTCTCTCTCTATCTCTCTCTACACCGACGTTTTGAAGATGGACGGCGGTGAAGCACCGGCAGTCTACTCTGAGGAACTTTGTGTGGCTCTGCCTTTACGCTTGAGATAGGATAAAGCACCTTCCAAGCGGAGATTCTAAGTAACTTTGAAGCCTTTAAAATCTTAGATTCTAAAATTGGAAACAAAAACAGAGCAATAGTATATTCTTAGAGCCAAACGACGTTATTAGCAGTAGCTTCTCCACTACCATTCCACGGGGCCTGGGTTCAAGCCCGATTTAACCCAACATCAAAAAAATAAAATAAACAAGAAAGTTTTTTTCTGATTGCGATCGCCCTTCGGCAGGCAATGGAAAAACTCTGAGTGTATTTCTGCCAAAAAAATAGCTTCTCATAAAAATACAATCGCCCTTCGCAGTCAGAATTAGGCTCAGTGACTCAGTAAAAGATCGTCTCTCTTGTCTGGGTTCCCGAACATAGGAACATTGAAGGCAATGAGATAGCTGAGCAATTGACGGAAGCTGGCCTGTTAGGATGAATCTGAAGCGGTAAAACTAGGATGTACTCTCGAAATAATCCAAAACGAAAATAGTCTCAATGAACGGCCTAGAAAAAGGTGATACAATTTCTGGAAATAAGTAGATGCTATACGGCTACAAAACCAAAAATTCAAAACACACGAAACAATCAATAAACTCACGCAACTATGGGCCAAATATAAGACTGCGTTTTTAGTTTTTCACACTGAGGTCAGGATTTTTTTTCTGTCGCATTTAAAATGGTTAAACTTTTTGGTTTATAAGGACGAATAGATATTGAAAATGCACTTTTAATTAGTTGAATTTTTTTAAGCTAATAAAGTTAGGAGGACGAAATCCGAGGATGTGGTCGGGTGCATATCAGTCTTTAAAATAAAATTTTTTCAAAAATAAATATTCCAAATTTTCAAGGATATTCAAGGACAACGTTTTAAACGAAAATTTTTCATACCCATTCGTCCTTATTCGCCACAAAATTTAATTCTTCAGAATTTTCTATTTTATTTGATACCCTTATTGTTATTCTTCATTGCACTGAATTTTGAAATAATCATATCTTTGAAATTTCAAATTTCAAAGTCCTTTTAAAAAATATCCTGACGTTGGTAAAAAAA